GTTATGTTAAACTTGTATTAAAGTTTTTCTTCATTACCCATTCAAGCCGTCTCCAACCATTATTGGTATCAAAGTGGGTTCCTCGTCATCGAATATACTTAGTTAAAATAGAGTTACAGGTAATTTACCTCTACGTGACATTATATACCTAGTTAAAACAGTTACAAGTGAATTATACTCCTACGTGACGATAGATAAATAGTTAAAATAGCATGCGAATTCTACTTCGGCGTACATAAATGTAAAGATAGAAATCTCTTATTTCAGAAAACACAGTTAAGATTAGCAAGACTAGTGGTGCACGTGCGTGAGGGCTCATCCTCGTTGGTTAAAATGGCACTAGAAACTATCAACATTCAGGAGAACTGCAAATATAAAAACCTGGGTGTGTAGAAATCATAAAGTACGTAGAAATATGCCCCCCAGTGGCACAGCGGTATGTCTGCGGACTTACAACGCTTGAATCCGAGTTTCGATACCCGTGGTGGGCAGAGTACAGATAGTCCATTGTGTAGCTTTGTGCTTAATAACAAACAACCAAACGTAGAAAATTAATAGCCTTAAATATATTAATTCTTCTACCGTCCAGGTGATTTTCATTTGCACCTGCACGTAAACAGAGACATCCAATGGACGCTTGATTCTTCTGTTTGTAGTTAGCTATTATTTGTATAACCTTCATTATTATACCGTATGGGAAAATTGAACAACACGTAACAATTTAAGGTTAAACACTGCGGATTCTAGAATAACAGCAATTTTACTGTCGCTGACACAAAACAATTTATCAGTAACGCCCATACTGGTCTTACAAAGTAAAACCGGTTACACCTGTACGAGTGTTTAATCATATATTTTGTATTCTGAAACCGAATCTACCCCTGTACGAGTGTTTAACCATATACTTTGTATTTTGAAACCGAAGTTACCCCTGTATGTGTGTGCATTTAACCATATACTTTGTATTTTGAAACCGAAGTTGCCGTTTTACGTGTGCATTTAACCATACAAAATACAAAGTATATGGTTAAATGCACACACATACAGGGGTAGCTTCGGTTTCAAAATAAAAAATATATGGTTAAACACTCGTACTGGGGTAGATTCGGTTTCAGAATTAGAAGGAATCAGGGGAAGACGATTATTTTGTACAAAAATAAAAGTATACTGTTGATATGTGAGGAAAACAAATCCCTGTTAATAAAACAGAGGGATTGAACCCCCCCCCCCCATGTCTGCCGTGTAACACATTTCTATGATTTAAGTGCTCTTAGCGTTAGTTGTTGAAAATACTACTTAAGCCAGAAGTACGAAATCTGACATGTTGTAACCGTCAATAACGCAGTGGAAGTTTTTATGTATCGTGAAGAGACGTTGATTTATGTTCATCATTATATATATATATAACATACGCACTTACATGCATTCACGCGTTTGGCTTTTGATGATTTTAAGGGCTAATAACTGCTCTATGAAAATGATCGATAAATGTAACTGATAATACAAGTAAAATCACCCGCAAAGCAGTACACTACCCCCCCCCCCGCAGGGATCGAACCCCGAATTTTTGCGTTGTAAGCTCTCGGGTCTACCGCCGAGTTATCAGGAAGCATTACTTTTGTGATTTTATGTACGCTACAAAGAACGATAATGAGAAACAAGATTTCTTAACAAAGCTAAAAATACAAGCATTAATTGCTTTTGAAGATTCAGTCGTAGTGTAACGATCACGTTTTTTTCCTCAAGAATTTTAACAAAATACTGGCATATAAATGTGTCAAATAACCATGAGATATGTCCCTTCCTTTACGCCAGTCTGTCTGTGACTACGAGTGTTATCAGAAGATACGGTGTAGTCACGACTTTACCCTAGTAACTCCAAACTTCATATTACAATTCTAAGCAAAACGTTCCTAAATTTTAAGTTTGTACCAAGAAGACTATAATACATTTTACGAATACGACAAACTGAGCCGGATAAATACAGTACAAGTTCTATCACATGAAATACAAAGATTTTCCCAGCATCTCTTGTAGAGGGTAGCTAGCCTTTAGTCTTAAGTCTGGACAACTGGTTTTGTCGTGTGTTTTTCTCTGTCTTTCATATACAAAACTTGATCACTGTGATACACGTATGTCATAAGATTATTCACTAAGCAAATACAAGTTGCTCAAAAAATAAAACCAAAAATACTGCAGCAGCAACACTATCTATTGGCGAGATTTCTCGACAGACAACCGTCACACAGCTGCCATATCAGCTGCTGCGCTGCGTGTCGTTCTTGGCTTTCCGTCTCAGCACAGCTGTATTCTGGAAGATATTCACATAAGACGGATGTCGCTGCATCCGCCCACTGTAAGTCCAATAGATATCGGAAGAAAAAGCTCGAGTTTACAGACTTACCTCTTCCTCCCGGTCCAGCCATTCCCTTCTTCCTGCTTCCCGCCCGTCAGCCTTCCAATGCCTACCTGGCCAACCTACGACTACTGCCTTTCTTAATGCACCTGAACAGCACTCGAAAAACCGTCGATACGAGCTCTCCTTCTCCGCCTCTTCTTCCTGACACTACCGCCCTCACGCGGCCTACTTTAACATAACTCGCTCGGCGGTCGAATAAAGAATGAAGTTCAAAAAATAAATTTACATGGAGTAAGACAATTAGTTCGAACAAATATTTCTGATAACGCGGGATACCATTGGCTGAAAATACATATACTCAGTTAAACAAACGGTAAACAGCCAGTAGTAACATAGCCCTGGTTACAGTAACTACTGAAGATTTGAAAATAATATATGTATTAAACGTAAAAACGGAACACGTTAAAAAATCACAGATTGTGCACTCGAGCCACACTGGCTACTTCACGGCAGCACAGTAACACAAGTATTAGTATATAATTCATACATCCGGGTTTCCAGTTATCAATGCTACAACACAAAAGCGAAGTATTAACTCGCACGATCGCTAATTCCACATTAATGTCGCTTGGTTATGAAGGTTATCTATTATAATAGGAACTAGGTTACACCAGACAATCTATTACAATAGAAGGATGTCAACAATTATCAAATATGTCGAAATTTTGCCTTTTGTGTGTGTGTTTCATTATAGACCCCCTTAAAATCGTTACTATAAGATCAATGTAAAGGATTATATTCGGCTATAACGGTTCATACCGCAGCCCGACATGCTAATCGCTTGTATTTGTCACAGAACTTCATCGTTTCACAGTTTTCACGAATGTAAAGATTTAAAGGTTGAAAAAAAATACATTCAAACTGTAAGCAATTTTAAATAAACACACACACATAAATATATATATATATATATATATATATATATATCTCACCCAACCCTATTTTCGCATCTTTACATTTCGTGTTTTTAAACTATCGGAAAAAAAAGCATGTACAGACACAAACCATAAGTTGTCCATACCTCTACAATGTCAATCATATTTGGTTTACAGCACTAAAATTCGATCATTTGTTATTTCGTATGACATGCTTATACTGTTGTAGTGTTCACTGTACATAAATCAGAAATGATTGAGAATGCAAAGGCAGCTAGCTAACTGTGTGTATGCTGCAAGCTTATCGTTTCCTGCTCTTCAGTACAGCCACCTGTATACGGTCCCCATCTTGAGACATACACAGGACTAAAGGCACATCTACCACATGCAATGTTTTACGTATTAATCAAATGGGGATTTCTTTGAGTCTCCTAAGCTTTGGCAAAATGCCAGTTCTTACACAAGCTTTGGAAATACGCATTCGAAATAATGTTAGTTAACGCTTTAAGACAACAACGGTTCTCAAACTGTGAAGTCGCGAGAAGAAGATTGCAATTAAACATGTATTTGTTCTAGATTAAATAGCTTTGAAAAGTGCCCAGTGAATGCAGTGCTAGCTATGGTGCTTTGACTGCTATGTTGTTTTGAGTGGTATCTGGAGTCGCTATAAAGTTTTATGTCTCAAAATTGGGTCACACAGAGAAAAAAAGTTTGGGAAAAGCATTGCCTTAAGAAAAAGCAATCAGAAAAACTTTTATTTCAAGTATTAAAGTTACTTGTTTCGAAAATTGTCAAAAAAATACAGAAAGACCAATTAAACGCCAGTTCACGTTATACTACAACCTATATATACAGCTGACGTTTGTGTGTACAAACGCACACACAATTAGCACGTGATGCACGAATAAATAAGAGGTTATTTAGGTGTTTAACTTCTACCTAACTTAAGTCATTAAATGTCTGTCCACACACACAAACATGGCAACTGTATGTTTTACAAAACCCCCTCTACAAATTAATTAGTGACTGAGTTAAGAGACATGTTTGAGCACCGTTTGTATTTCAAGAGCACTCAGCCTAGTGCTTCAGAAAACACAAAATCACGTGCCAAGTTAACATGTCTATACCGAAGTCCAAAATCTGATAAAACCCTGTAAATTGTATAGATCATCACGCTTCTGATAAACAAGCAGGCACCGATGGATAATATGTTACGAAACGTTCTTATACTAAGTATATGTGCGTGTGGACGTTTCATTCGTGGCGGGAACTACGTATGCACCGCGTGATATGTCACTGATCTGTTTAATAAAAGATTTAATAATGGGCTATCTGTGCTCTGCCCACCACGGGTATCGAAACCCGGTTTCTAGCGTTGTAAGTCCGCAGACATACCGCTATGCCACTGGGGGGCGTTTAATAAAAGAAATGAGTATTAACATACCACTAGAGAATTATTATAAAAAAATTACTAATAACACTTTTGTTTCTGTAAGAACTTTTGCGTGTATATTTATTGCAGAGCTACTAAGGCTATCAGTCGCCGTTCCTAATTTTGAACTACTGATCAGTGGGTAGGCAGCCAATCAGCAACATCCTACTACTCATCACTCACGAAGGAATTGATTGCCACTCTTATAACACACCCACAGCTTATGGTGCGGGAAATGTTTAGCGGTATCGCATGAATTCGAATCCGGCTCGCCAGCTCCGAGATCCAGAGCTCTACCATAAAACTCACCCACGCCCTGTTTATGTTTCTTGAGTTATAAACAATAGTTGTATAGATGGACACACGGATTCGAACCTGGTTCGCCAGCTCCAAGATCCACAGCGCCAATCTGGGCCCTTTGTGTAAGGAAGTTAAATTTTAAAACCTGATCCAATTTTTAATAATGATCCAAAGCAAAAAATGATGCAGGCATGTAGACGTGTTTAGTAAAAAACTGTTTTATGTGTACAGTTACTTGTTATCAAACGTTTTGTTAATTATTTAAAATACCAGCAAGAGCACCGATATCATAAAGACGAACGTTTCAATATAATTTGTACTGAACGTTTTTGGTTGTTTTTTAAGACGCGTTCCCTAGAAATTACCCATATTTAAGAGATATAGAGGGGAAATAAGGACGAAAGAAAAAATCGTCCCTCTCTTACGTTTTTCCTCGCAATACGAATAATAAAAGCATGCAGAAATACGAGTCCAGGAGCTGCCTTTGCCGAGAAAAACCTCAAAGACTCTTTCATATTGAAAAGTCTCGCGTATAAATAAATTTATTTTTAACTTGCCAATGAATTTATTTTATTCTTTTTGGAAAATACCCAAACTTCTTCGTTTCACAGCACAAGGAAATAACATCAAGAGTTTTACTTAAGTACACTATCTCACCAGCATGCTGATGGCCTGGTCTTCTGTAACACATGCACCAATTTCAAGAAACAAGTTATCACAGACACTTGCTTCAGCCAAGCCACGATGTTTGAATCGTTTGAGTGTTTGTTCCTGAGTAACAAAACAGAGGCTAAACAAATACGGTTTACGTCTAAATTGGGGGCGAGAAAACGGTTATGTATTCAGGAGTTGTATAAAAAAAAAAAACATTAATAACAATACTAAACTATCACATGCAATATGTTACTAGATGGCGTTCTGCGAATACCCAGGTTTGGTTAAGTTTGTCTCGGATATTCATATAAAGCTACAAAGAGTTATCTATACTAGCCGTCCCTAACTTTGAAGTGATAGCCTAGAAGGAAGACAGCGTATCCACAGCCATTTCTTGAACTACTCAAATTATCCTTATAATACACACATACATTACGATAAACACAAAAATGTCTAGTCTCCGGTTTTTCACTACTTTACTGGCAGTGAGTTCACAATCTCCTTGTAATCTTTAACATGGGATTTAACTTAACTTTGCTATATCTTCTCCAATATTTCGTGACTGCAGACGAATTTTTCTTTCACATGTAACTAAAGTAGAAAACGCTTTATTACTTAGTAAGTCGTATATTTTAATATTATTATTATAACGTTACTATAATTTGTCACAAAGACAATTCAAATTCACATAGTTGTAAAACTTTAAAAGACAATCTCTCCAACTATCATTCAAATAAATTTTTTCTTCGGACTTGTGATTTAAACCTTATTTACGCAAAGAAACCTTTCGGTTTCCTGTTTGTTTCTCGCTATAACTTTATTTTATATCATCTTAAACTTGTTCATCTGACAAGACATTAAGTGTTTGTTTTATGCAGTCCCGAAAATACCGGTAATTCAGAAAAACCAAACTAGTGGAAAATCTCCGTTAAAAATTACGTTTTGTTTTCTTTCATCTGCCGTAAAATGTGTTATAACGAATTAGCACACATTGTTTTGTCACCTGTGGCTGAAAACCTCACATGGACCTTTGTGGCGACACATTAAAACACACGGCCCCGCTCTGCTTAGCTCGAGTTCATAGAAATCCAGATTGTGAACTTACTTTATATCTAAGACGGATACTTCGAGTAATTAAACCCCAAACTGTTCCGTTAAATAAGGTCACACCTTAGATTCGACGGAAGGGAGTTAGCGAACAACACCCACCGCCGACTCTTATCTGATCAAATTGCGAGACTTGACCGCCCACAGTACCAAAATGTAGAGCGAGTGCGTTTTTGGGATAAGGGATCACAAACCGAAAATCCTGGAATTCACAGTTCGGGCACGTTGACCAGTAAGCCGTTATGATTGGTCCATACACGTTAGGACAAATATTTTGGGCACGTTTACCAGTAAGCCGTTATGATTGGTCCATACATGTTAGGTCCAATATTTCGGGCACGTTGACCAGTAAGCCGTTATGATTGGTCCATACACGTTAGGACAAATATTTCGGGCACGTTGACCAGTAAGCCGTTATGAATGGTCCATACACGTTAGGACCAATATTAAAATAATGTTTGTTTACCGTAACACAGCGAATTTGTGGGGGAAAAAAAATCTGTTACCGAAAATCTTTTATTTATTTTCGGAAAGTCTGGCATTCTTCATTGGGGATTAAAACAGAACACTCACTCAGAAATTCGTGTGATCTCACAAAATACAAAGTCTGACTTGTACAACTTCCAAAACGAGAAGTCAAGTATGGGAGAAAGAAGTTAAAGATCGGTATCGTGAGTATTTTTTAAACAAATCATCATAATGTAACATCTTGCAAGCAATTTTTAAAATGAAAAACATTTCTAATACGTTCCAGAAAAATTCCTTACTTAAAAAAAATACCA